CATACACTTGCTCCAGGGCTCGCTACCGCTACTTGCTCAAAGTAGCCGAGCTTACCCTGAACGTACTCGTATATGTTCTAGGCAAAAAATACTTCGTAAGCAAAACACAAAAACAGCAATTAGAAATAAACGTACTGTCTCGGTTTCATATATTTTTCGTAAAACGCCATCCTGTGGAATAGATACCACCTGGATTCAGATTCAACTGACTCAAACGCAAGCGAGTTCACGAGCGTGAGTGTCAGACTTTATAAATCGAGCTTAGAGATTCAAATTCAAAAATATATAATTTTTAAATGGTTGTTTTATTTGTTCATTGACACAACTAACTTTACAATTGATTATTGCTTCATTAATTTAAGCGAATTTAAATAGATTCATGCGATGGTCTGAAGAGGTATTTCCTAAATACCTCTTTACTAAATACTACATATTTAGTATATAAAAATAATGTTTTTTTTATCCAATTTTGACACATTAAAATGACTTTATCAATTCCATAACAACAATAACAAATAAAGTTTTATTCACTAGCAACTAAAAGAGTGAGTTAAAAATTTTTTAAGTCACTAGTGACTTAAAAAACTCACTATAAAAAGTCACTATTAGTTAATCTAATAATGTACCTATATTACTGTCGACAGCCAAATGTGGAAGTCGCTATTTAGGTATCGATATTGGCACTCTTTAGGCATGTGTGCATATATTATGTAAAGCCAATTTAATAAACAATGGAATCAGTCTAAAAGTTTTATTATAAAAATCAACTTGTAACAATAATTATGGAAACAATGAAAACAATAATACATAATGGAAACTACAATGGAAACTATCTTTGCATAATTATTTTTTATAATCAAAATAAAAGTTAGTTATTTAAATTATTAAACTGGAGCTGCATGTCGTTGTTTAATGGAATAGTTAGTTGCTCTAGTTTGAATGGATGGGTCCATTGTTAGAATCGATGTTTGTACCGATGGCGATGAGTTCATTGTTTAAATTGGAAATTTGTCCCAGCTTTTTCAGGTGCACCTACTGCAACTTCATTACCCAATATTTTTCTTGAAATTTATATTTTATTTCTTATAGACTATTCAACATATCCTTCTGCAACTGAGTCAGAACGCCATCCTCCATGTCTTTTTAATATCGATAAATCGGCGCCTGCTTCCGCCAGCAAAGAGGCAGAGGATCGTCTAAAACTATGTCCAGTATAGTATCCCGCATTTTCTAAGCCAAGAAACTCTGCTATCTTCTGAGGCATTTTGGAAAATGTGTTGAAACCTACAGGCTGTACCGTGCATTTTTCATTTTTATAGTTTAGGAATAGTCGTGTATATGGTACATTTTGCGGGCGCAATTTCTTATATTTCTGAAATACATCAATTGCATTGATATTATTGCTTCCATTGACAACAGTGAATATTCTTTCTTTGTAAGTTTTAGTGTCGGGAATTTTCACCACTAATACACTTCCTCTGTCGTCAACATTATTAGTGGACATCGCTACCAGTTCGCAAATTCTGCAGCCTCCTGAAAATCCCATTATCAAAGCTACTTTAAGCAGTAAATACTTGTCATCAGGAGCAGTATCTAAAAATTTTTCGACGTCTCTGCTAAATACATTTGATTTCTTTGGTCTATATCCCACTGATTGGTTCTTTAAAAATGCTTTCACTTGGTGAAATCTGAAAAAGTAACCTTTTATTAACTCAAACGTCTATTTTTTAATATAATTTAAAAACCTACTTGCATATGTCCACATTTTCTTTAACGGACATCTTCTTAAGTTGCGAATAATAGGACCATAATGACGAAGACTTCACATTTTTTTATTTTTCAGATATGTATGCCATTATTATCTTCTCGTTAACTCCTTTAACCTGATTTTTGTTTCGCCATTGGCAAAAAAGCATATACTCCTTCTCGTACAATGATTTAGATTTATTGGGTACTATTTTTGCTAAAGCCTCATTTGCTGCATTTAACACTTCTTCTGGAACAAGTTCTTCGTTCACAAAATCTAAGATATCCATTTTTCCAAAATTTTAAACGAAAATTAACTCTTGCCGATGTTTTATATCGTAGATTTTAGTCAATAACAGTAATATTCAACTAACTATAAACAAAGTCTAAATAAACAAGCCCTGGCAACGCCTAACAACCAGACTTAATATAAATTGCAACGACTACTTGTCAATTACATTGCCATAAATGGTTGTTAAGTACAAAATTAAATTTAAAAAACACCTATATTTTAATCTAAAAATGTCAAAATTGGATAAAATATTGTATACGCCTCGTGAGTTAATTTTTATTCACTCGGAAGAAATTAAGATCGCTCGCCTAGTGGCTCGCGATCTAATTTCTCGCGAATAAAAATTCATTTAAATCACTTGGTGTATAAATATCTATAAATAGAATATGAATAGCAAATGAATTTACCATTTCAAATTTTTCTGGAGTTAAATCACGTTGCTGATGAGGAATACAACAGCCATAATCTTTAAAAACTACTTTGCATCTCGGATTATTTCCGCTATATTGTCAGGGCTCAAATTTTCACTCAGATTGTCATTAACATTAATAAAATCATTAAACGCATGGCTTGAATTTGATATACCTAAAATGTTTTCTTGTTTCACTTTTTAGTTTTGAACAGGTAGCGCCAGGATTTTTTTCGATCATGTTGGTATCTTTAATTGTGTTTCCAGAAAATTAGCCTGTAAGTAAGAATTATGTATTATTAAAATATAACAATATCGAAAAATATGAACTAATTAGTTATCCGCACTCTAAAAATGTAAAAGCTTGGCGTTACTTTGCAATAAAATGTTAATTTCAAAACACTTATAAGAAATTTTGACTAGCTTATAGAAATTTAACACCAAATATTACATACCTTTAATCAAATTAAAAAAGAAATGAGCACATTAACTATATAGTTTTCTCAATCGTGAATTCGGCTTTTCCAATAGACATTTTTGGGAAATAGTTTTCTGGAAGAGAGGGGCGCCAAAATTCTCTTTTTGTATTTTTAGAACGCTAGTGAGAATTATAAACTCTAGCTTTACCGAAGGGAAATTAAATAAATACATGGATTCAATAACAAATGATTTTACTATGCTGGTACCAACACTCTTAAATTTTAAATATCGTACGATATTCAACATTTCTTAGCTTCGTGAATTTTAGTTACCGCTATGTATCTGAATAGACTATCCCAATTTAAAATTATAAATTCGCAATAATCGATAGCTTCTATAGTTCCTCGAGCACCAAAACACTCCAATTATGTTTAATATAAAACAGCTTCTTTATGTTAAATTTGAGTAGAGATAGGAGTGAGTTTAGATAGTTAAACAGGAAAACTAAAAGACTGCTTACATTCACTTCCTAAACAAAAAATAAATTCTGTTTTTTACGAGGCTTCTGTAAGATATATAAATTAACTTTTAAACAATTACTTTTTTAAAATTAAATCACGATAAAAAAAACTAATTAATATAAACAATGTGTAACTCCAGCTCACAAAATGAATAATTAAAGCATATTTAATAAATTTAAATTGACTTTCAAAATAAATAAACCTAACAGTAACAATAAGTAGAAATATAATTTCTACTGAGATATTTTTTTAATGACATTTAATAACTTACCACTGTTTTTTATAGTCTCGACACTGAACTGGTTCTTAGAGGTATTAAATGAGAATTCAATTTTAATGAAAAGGTTCGAATTATCGAGAGCCAACCAGATCCCCACCTAGAGAAATTTCCCTCAAATCTTGTAAATTTGAAATACTCCTGTACATCTTGTTAACTTGTTAACGACGTATTATGATAGTGGAGTTATACGTTCGATTTCAACCCCGAATTTTAAAAACATTTATTGAATTTTGCATAAACAGATATTCTATAAAGATATAATTTAATAAAGTCGCTAACTTAATTTTCATAAAAAGTGGATTTATTCCGTTTTATTCTAAAGCTCCTCAATTGTATCCCTGGCTTTTAATCCTTTTGGAATGTTTTTATAAATAATTTCTGGTATAACAAAATTATTATAAAATGATACTAGTTTTGGCACCGTCTTGTCCTTACAGAAATCTTCATCTCTTTGAATGATTTCGATATTTAATGGTTCTATATCATTTATGTAAATGATGAGAAAACAAATATCTTTTTGGCAAATATTTAATTGGCATGGATCTACAACAAAATACACATATAAAAGTATATTACACAATACCCTTGCATAAAGGTAAACATATTACATTATTAAAATATACTGACCTGGTAATAGTAATTGTGGTTGTTTTTTAAAATAATTTTATCATCAATCAATGTGACACATAGCTGTCTATTACTTTTAACGCTTCCAACAAAGTTTTCCCAGAGTTATGTACACTTGACAAACATTTTATTTCAATTATACCATTTTGTCCTACAAATGCATACGGGGTAGCTCCCAAAAAACCATATTCATGCGAAATTGTCAAACCGCATTGACGAATTTTTGCAATGGGTCTCTGTTTTCCAAACCTTTGTAGGGTAACGGCTTCATTCTGTTTTCCATACGCCATGCGTTTTGTACAGAAGGTGGTGTCATACAATTTTTTTTTGCAACATTGTGGCAGGGTGTATTTATTCTTTTTTTTATGATCTCTCCAAATAAAGAAGCAGTTAGGCGATCTTTTCTTTCCGATTTGTAGTTGACATTATTCCATTGTCCCACTATTGCTCTCTCAATTTTTTGTTGTTCATCTATTGTAACCTGTAAAAAGAAATTATTTTATATTACCTGCAGATTCTATAGCAGAAAATTTTTGTTTAATAACTGTGGGTCAAATATGAATAGTTACTGAGATAGAGGGTGTTAAAGTATTAAACAAAAAAATAATATTTTCCACTATAGCACCTGCATATATAATATTTCTTATGAATTAACTAATATACTCAACATACCTGTAAACGTTCCAAACTCTTTGACATTCTGCCTCATAAGTTGACTGCTACGCTGACTGTAGCAGGTACAGAGGGTCCATAATCCGTGTTATGGCTCTTTTTTGTTTGTTTACTTCCAGTACTACTTTCAGTCTTCGAAATATTTTTATTAACTAGCTGTTTGCGAGATTGTTCTTTGGCAACCATCCGCTTTAAAAATATTTTTAAATTTTCGCCCTCCTCTGTGTCCGTTATGTTTCTCCAACTATCTGCATGCCAATTGATTCCTTTGTTGTATCTTAGAACAGCTATATTTGCTTGTGTTTCGAATGATCCCCTTGTTATAAGATTCAGTCGTTTTCCAGCATTATATTTAGCTAAAAGCGACATGAACATTTCAGCTTTGTTACTGGTTTCGTTGCCAATCAGATTTTCGGCCAACATCACAACCCTATCTAATGCAGCTAAAACATTTACATATTAAAATATTTAATATAATAATGATACTACAAAAAACCTTTAATGTGGTATAAAATTCCATATTCTTCAAGAATGGTATTATTAATATTGCCAGCTTCTTGGCAGTCATTCTGACACTCAAAATGATCGCCAAATACGTGGTTTATACTATTTAATAAACCTTTTTGTAGATCATCAACACTGTCATTTACATAAATGGTCCTTTGAACTGCATGTTGCAATTGTTTAATAATATTGTTTACTAAACATTGTCTGCCTTCTGACATAATCTTTGTGTCACTTTGTAGTTTGTACAAGGCCTTTCCATAATTTTTTATTACATGGTTTTTGCATTCTTGTACCATGGCACCATATGGTACTTTCTTAATAATGTTTGTGTAGAAACTTGAGTCTCCATCGGCAATAAATTTTAAATATTTTAAGCTATGCTTTAAAACCTTCAACTATAATATCAGATTCTATTACACTTAAAGAACTATTCCAGTTTTTAAAACAAATATATGCTCTCTTGGTTCAATGTCCTTTTTCGGTGCCCTTGCACAAATACAGCAATATTTATTTCTATCCCCAATGAAAAGTATTTTGGATGTTAATTTTCCAATAATAACAGCCTGAAAATTTAAATAGGTATATAAATATTAAATAGAATAAATTTAGTACAATATTAGAGATACTGTTACTGATTTGAAGAAAACTTATATTTTACACTATTTCAAAGTCAGAGCACACTTACCACACCAGAGGCTGCATTACAATTATGGCCATAGGAACGATAATTCCATCCTCCATCTACTGTAGTCCAAACAATGCCATCAATCACTTCTCCCTTCTTTTTCGCTAAATTGTAATCCCCTTCACCAGCTGTAAGTAATTGCTGGAATATCCATGCAGGCTAACAGTTCTGTCCTATGACTATAGGTACTGCCTGTCGCCAAGGTACCCCAAACTGCTCCATAATTTATTTTATATGAATTATCTTCTATTTGCGTTTTATGTGTTTTAGCAGTATAGTTGCACATATTACATACAAATTTTAGTTCACTTACTAATCCAAATCTCTGTTCACCAACAACACATAATTGACCAGTTGTGCAAATTTTTGAGTGTCTTAACTGTAGTTTTAATGACCACTCCAGAACATACTGTAAATCTACAATTCTGTTTCCACTCAATATAGGATTTGGCATTGAGGTATCTACCTCAATTTCCAGTTCATGTTGTGCTACGCTAAAAGAAAAATACACAATAAAGAAATGTTTTGGGGCAATTCAAACGAATTAAGTTATCATTGTAATATTGATTATAGATATCTCTTTTGCAAGTTTTCAATTTACTATTTCCTCTGTGGTGTTCATACCTATATTTCCTTTAAACATTAATGTTAACATTATCCCTTTCTTTTTTCGACATCGGCTCATATTTTTTAACAGACAGAAGCAAGGACAGTTAGTTCAGAGAAAAAATGTTTTACACATGAATATAATTTTTTAAGATAAATAGAATGTCTTAAATGAAGAAAAGGTTCCAATAAGTCCCTAGAAAAAATGGAAAATACTCATTTAACTGCCCTTCTAGTAGTGCTCGATTAAAAATCTGCGATTTGTGTAACAATTAGTTTAGGGCGACAGTATTTAAATATATTTTGTCCCTTTTATATAAACTAAAACTATTTTTCTTGTACTTACTTTACATTTTCTCTTCCCGTTTGTCACACCATGGAAAAGCACATTTTGGTAAGCTAAATCTCGCCCTTTCTAATGTACATTATTTTTTCAAATAGAAGTACATAATTAAAAATATGTTTAGTTTTTATCATGTGTGCAAACCCCATTTACTGTGGTAATATTTCCAATGTATTTTCTATTTTTAACAGACTTCAAAAAAGAAGTAGGTTCTCAATTCAACAGAATATATTTTTTGATGGATATTCAGCGACAATTCTTTACTATGTTATCCGATTTCTGATTATTTTTTTGTTAGAAAGGGGGCTCCTAAGGAATGGTTCCATAATATAAATTTGGTCAAAAATAATCACTCTTCGTTTTTGGAGTCGTCAGTTTTTTTAATTTATGTACATTTTGCAATGAATCAAAGTAAAAACTGTTTAAATTGAGAAATTTCTAAAGTTCATTATCTATTTTTTAGCTAGAAATGGAAAACAGGAGGAGGGATGGTGAAATCTCAATGGTATGAGAAATAAATTCACATTTGACCTATTCTTGAAAATCATATACAGTTCCTTTTTGAATACCTTCAATTTGGATGCTATATTCCTTTGCTACTAATACTAGAATTTATTTTTTTATTTAAGAACAACTGTCTATTTATACAATATTGCAATTTCTAGATTGTTGAGAAAATTAAATAATTATGATATGATGATTAGTTTTTATAAGTTGTGTAATGGTCGAAATTTAGAATATTAAATAATTGATACTATGTATAAATTACACTTATTTACCAAAATATATTTGCTTTCACATTTGTAATTTACATATTTGTAGGTCATAAATAAAACACCAAATTCATTTTAAAATTTTATTTTTTAGGATTAAATTAATATACACAAAATACATAACATAATAAGAAAATATAATAAATCTACAATAAACAAAAATACATGTAATTTGTCCATCATTATTAATTATTAAAGAATTCTAATTCTAAAAAATAAAACATTCAATCCAGGATTTCTGTTTGGTTATGACAGGTTTCAAGTTGACTAGTAATTTTGTGTTAAAATTTGCCTAACGTATTGGATACGTCTACTTAGCCAGTTCCACATATTTAATAAATTTATAAAAAGAAATGGATTATTTCAACATAGGTACAAACAATAAAAATGTTATTACTGATAGTAGTTTACTGCTTAATATTTACTTTTTTTGAAAATAGGCAGGAAAAAACTATAAAATAATATTAATTATTGTTGAGAATGTATTCATACATAACAGTTATAAGTTATACACGATTTAAAAAGTGTTTAACAATGGAAGTAGGGATACCATGCTCCACAGTTATATGAAGAAAAGATAATTGATTCTCTTACTATATATATTCAATATAATTTTCAGGCTTAAAATTATTCATGCTATCATCTCATGAAATATTTTAACATACTTAGCAAACACCTATATTACTACAAAGTAATGTCTATTAAAAAATAAAAATATATCGCTACAAGGCTATACCGACGTCATAAGCAACCCCCCGTAACTGACAAATTACAAATATTTGAGGTTATTTGACCATTCTGATACTAACTCATTTTTATTTTTAAAAAGTAAACAAAATCCCAGTAATTTTTATTCTGTATCCTAAAAAGTCAACTTGATTCTACAATGTAACTAACATTTTTGTAGAGAATTCTTAACAAAAACCTTTTAACCCACAAATCAACCCAAAAAATTAAATTACACTTATTTATATAACTGGTTAAAAGCATTATTCCAAACTTGTCTTTAATTCAACAAAAGTAGCTATATTGGTAACACCTATCAAAATGCTGGCAGTAATAAATTTCTTTTATTGCTTATATCTCCATTCTATAGTTTGCGTAGTTACTGGGCCAGTATAGATGTTTTATTTGTGAGCCAAGCCTGTCTTGGTTTAACATTAGTGGTCCATACAACAATATTTTTAATTTTGTTGTGTTACAAAGTTTTCCTTTTTTTAACTGTAGGGTTTTGCTTGAGAGTCTGTGCAGGGGGACCGGAAGAGTCCACTTGGACCAGGCAAGGGTTTAGTAGATTCCTTGGGAGTGAAGAGACTGTACTAGGAGAAACAGCTACGGAGACTCCACTGGAAAGTAGCATAATATCAATTATTGATTCGTGAACCTACAGAATAATAAATAAATATATATGATTCTAGAGCTTTTAAAATTATGTTCCGAAATATAATGATATAACAAAATTTATAGGTAATTCGTCATTAAAGAAGTTATAACTCGAACCTACATGGAGATTATTCAGCACATATGAGGTATCACTCATTCAACGATGATATTTAGCTGCAGTTAATAAGCACTCGTGTAATTATTTATTGCAATGCAAGTACCTAATTAGACCTACAGTTATACTTTACTAAAATATGTAAAATGTCGCGATTATCCTGTCGTGAAACACGAACGCACCGTGGAAAATGTGAACGCGCCATGTACCAACAGTTGGTAAACCTGCCGAGCAGATCGAGAAGAGCGCAAGATCGTTCACTTTTTACTTACTGACTTTCATATTGTTTTATTGTTTAACATGATGTAAAATTTTCTAATGGCCTCTCGGCTGTTATATGTTCGATTTTATGTAATAAAGTTTGTTAAAAATCATTTGAACTACATCGACGAAGAAAACTATATCAACCATAAAAGATCCCTTTAATTCCAAATTTGTCTTCATATTGCACCAATTTTTCTACCAACATACAAAGTATTTGTGATAATTATACAGGATATTCCAAATTTGACATGTTTATAAGATATCACTAAATTAGCAGGGAATAAAGCACATTTGAGGTCGCACCTTTTTTTAAAACTAAACATGTTATTTTAAATCCTGTTATAAATTCCTCCTCTGAGTAAAATGCAAGAGTGATTTTTAAAATATAATTATTTTGTTTGGGTGTTTAAATAAAAAATGGTAAATGGTATTATCTCGAAAATTTGAACCACTTGAAAAAATAATAAGTTCGACAATGGATTTTACATATCGTTACCCTACTTCGCAAATGTCGTAAGTCCACTTTTAGTCCAAATTTAGATTTTAGCACCATCTAACAGCGTTTGTCAATACCTATCAATTTAAAATTGTAGATTACTTGATTATCAACAGAAATATAGTTGGGCGTTAAAAAGCAGAGGTCGCAAGTCCCAAATTTCAAAAACGCGGAACGAAAAAGTCGTAAGTCCGTTAAATCTTATGAAAGTTGACATCTTGGATTTGTGTGCCTTATTTTGTCCCGTTTTACAATAAGTTATTAGTGTTTTTCTTTTGGAATTGACTGTAAACGTTTTTGGTAAGTCTATATAATAATGGTTCAACAATATTATATATTTTGAATGCTATTAATAAAATTGCCAAGGGTGCAAAGATTTAATAGTTTGTGGCGGGACATACGACATTTTCTATTACTCATCATTAGTTGTTTTGGTGGAGTTACATTTTCCCAATACCCACTAAAATATAATTTTTCAACTTAACATTTATTTTTGCTAAAGTTTTTTACATATTATTCACTAATAATGCTCTAGATTATTATTAATAAGAAT